GACGTTATCGTTGAACTCCAACGGTTCTTCAAGTGTAATCTTGGCAACGTCAAATGCGAATCCCGACAATGCGTATTTCTCATGAATTTCTATCTGGTCTTCAGTGACTTTAATTTCTGTCGTATTTCTTGATAGTTTATTAACAGTTACGTAGACATATGGGGCGCCGAGCACACTATGCGCACAGGTCAAAATCTCCGTTTTCGACAAAATGATTGCATTAAATTCTAGTTGAGCATTTTCGTTAGCATCGGCAAAATCTTTTTTGTAAGCAGTAAGAAATTCTGTAATAGAAAAACATCTCCGAATGAATATTTATGTTTATGAATCATGAAAAATCTCCACTTCTGCCTCTCCTCTATTTAAAATTAAAAAAAGTGACGTTAGAAACGGTTTGATTTAGTTCGAATTTCGAATGCACACTTACTTGCCGGTGCCAATATATCGACTATAAATTTAGCTTCGTTAGGTGTAAGCGGAGGTGGAATTGGTTTCACGCTCTGAAATTAATGCAAAAAATGATTTTGTCAGTGTTGTTGAGAATAAAAATTGGGGCATTGTGATTAGATACCTTTGGGTCATGAATAAAATCAAGGAATAGAGTAATTGGAAGGAACGATCCGCGGCCACCTGTTGTTCTATTTATACCCATTGTTATGCCCACTATTTTGCCATTTGATTTTGAAATGACTGGTCCACCCGAATCGCCGTGTGTAATAATTTTGCCATCATTCGTAGCTTCACCAGTTGTAAAGCACAAAGTCTGACTTGACTTAACTGTGTTGGCTCGTTCGACATCAGACATATAGTTCGCATCGCAACGCCTCAATATCGATGGTCCGGTGTTCTTCAACACGCCATATCCATAGGCAGTGACCACTTCTGATTGGTTATTCAATTTGTAATCCTTATTCACGAGTTCGATACTACCAACGGTATCGCTGAATTCTAACGGCGTTTTCAGTGTAATTTTGGCAATATCAAATGCCCCAAAAATCAAATGACTATAATGAGGGTGCCATGCAATGTTCTCTTTTTCGACTTTGATTTTAATTTTCTGGTTTACATCTGATACAACTTTCGTATCAGCTACCACATAAACATATGGGGCCTCATACACACAATGGGCATTCGTGATAATTTCCGTTTTCGACAGAATAAATGCGGTACAAATACGCGTAATTTTTCTATTGGCATCATTTGGATGGTCTTTGTATTCATGCAAATATTTTGTAATAAAATCGTTTCATTCTCAGTAAAAGCAATAATATTTGAAGAAAAAATGAACACACACACAAAATTGCTAGGGGAAACCGCGAATTCTTCATCTACAAAATTCGTTTCTGTCATTCAGTTTTAATACCATTGTATGTTGACTCAAATATTTGACTAAATCTATAATCCACTATGAACGATACTTTTGACCACCACAATGTGATGAATTTTCTGACAGTAAACCGACAACGCACAATTGAAAGTTATCATTTACAGTGAATCGTTTCTGGAGAAAGTTCGAAAAATGCCACAGTTGTAAATAATAAATTGTTTGAAAAAAATTATAAAATCTAGCATTATTTTCAATTTTCTGAAGCGTGGTCAGCCCCTAGCAAAATTGATAGAATATTTGAATTTTTCGGACAAAAATTCACACGAAGAAAAAAAGAAAATGATTCTAAAGCAGACTTACCTGCGGGGGCATAGATTCCAGCTACAAACTTTGCCTGTGACATGTTTTCAATCGTTTCGCCCTTAAGAAGAGCTTGCGAGAAAAAGCCATCTGTTCATTGGAAAAGAAGTTGAAATTTCGAATTGAATATTATAAAAGTCTGAAAAAATCTTTTGGAATCATAAAAAGCTATTTCGAAAACCATAAATGTCTTACGTTTTCCTTGAAGTTCCTAGAAAAAGAAATTTCGTGTTAATTTTCATTTCTACAGAAATATCGTATTTTATTGGATAAGAGTGAAAATGATAAAGGAATAGAAAGAACTTACCGAAAATTCAACGATAAATAGCACCGAAAACAAACCGTGTAGTAGATTCATTCTAATTTGCGAACCAAACATAGTTTCAACCTGTTGCACAAGTAGATAGTAGAGAACCGTCTTGTACTTCTTTAGAAGATCCTTAGAATACGTTTGGTATTCCCCGTGCGGTGCTGCCTCTTTTATACCATTCATCTAATAATGGCTGACACGTGCCATACAATCAATAATTGATGAATTAAGGTATTTTTCAGTTATGGAATTCATGAATTGAGGTCTACTAACACTATGCGGCAAATTTCGAAAACGAAATTCTTCCAAAAAGAGTAGACTCATTTTCATCGTTTTTTTGGTCCTCTTGATCCAAATCTGATATGGAAACCGCAATGAACGTATCTTAAAAACTAGACGTGCCAGGACAAACTAACGCCAGATTTGGATTAAGTGGGCCCAAAAACGTTGTAAATAAGTTCCCTTCTCTGTGGTTGTTTCTTGTTGTTGCATAGTGTAATCATATTCAGACACCAAATGAAGCTCAATAACAAAATTTCTTTGATGGACACGTGTAGCTGATACAATATGTGGAAATTGATAGAAAAAATTGGAATACGTTCGAAAACATTTTAAATTCAGATGTAAATGGTTCGTAATTTGGTTATTTTCGGCTGCTGTCAATTGTTCTAACACTTACTGTTTTTTGTGTACATTTTTGTTCTCCAGCCTGATGATGCTCCTAATAAGAGCGAAACGTCGCACAATAAACGAATAATCATTTTCGAAAACGGTTTTAGCCCAACACACCACTTTTGTGTTTGTTCAGACGGAATGAAAAAACAACAGCTAAACGTGTGCACCAGAGGAATTTAGTGTATGTGATGCTGGATTGCACAGTGATGATATGAATTTACTTTAAGGGTACTTTTTTCTTCAATTCGTGATGAAGGCTCATCATGTACATAGATATGTGTTGTTGATTATAAAAATGAGATTAGCCAAATGCGCTCAATTACATGGGAATCATATATGCGTTCCTGGTGAGAAATAGGAGGCCAGTTTCTCAAGCGAAAATGAATATCTTGAAATGTTTTAGAACATTGCATGAAGTATCTGTCTTCTATCTCTTGAGGAACACAAAAATGGTTCGCATTCTGACCATAAACTGGCGGTTTGGGCCAATCCCATTTTTATCACAAGGCAAATGCTAGACCCTAACGCCATCTATAGATTTTTGTAGAAATCATTAAGGTTTAGACTTAACAGTAGACTCGACATGAATAATAATAATAATACACCGACAAAGACTGGCTGTTTTTATTCAATTCTTTATGATTGATAAAATAAAATAATTATTGTAAATAGAGCTGATTCTGCTTAGCCGATTAGATTTGAGTAAAAACAAATAATTAATTAATTTTATTTTATTCAATGGGTATGAGTAATAAATATACATTTTTATGCTTATGGTGCGGTCACATTAGGAAACATTTTACTGGAAACATGGAAACAAATTTTCGCAAATGTATGGGAAAAAAAGATGCTGGAAACAAACACTTTCCCAAGCAAAAATTCACACTGGATTAACGTTGCGTTAACGCATATCTGACACTGTTCTCACACGGTTTTGAACGTCAAACCGTGTGGCTATAGTATAATAGAGTGTGAAACTGTTTGACATCATTTTTTATTTTAAATAACCGTGTGGATGCAGTGTATGTTTGTTCGGGTATCAAGAGTCGACACCAAAAATGGTTTTAAAATTCGCCATGATAACGCAACGGTCATACACTTCGGCGACATGGTTTCAAATGTAAAACAGTGTGGCGGACTTCCACACTGTCCAATACAAAAACATAAACTGCATCCACACGGTTATTTGACATCAAAAATGGTGTCAAACGACTTCACACTCTACTATACTATAGCCACACGGTTTGACGTTCAAAACCGTGTGAGAACAGTGTCAGATATGTATTAACGCAACGTCGAATCAGTGTGAATTTTTGCTTGGGTTTTTTGTACATTTGCGAAAATTTGTTTCCATGTTTCCAGTAAAATTTTCCTAGTGTGACTGCACCCTTATAGCGTAAATCACATTTGGTTAGGAAAAAAATGGGTGCTGTAGGTATTAGCTAATGACTTTAGCCTGAAGACATTATCGGGCAGTCGTTTGAGTGATTATTTGAAGTCGTTGCATGAAGACGATTGTTGAAAAAATGGTTTAATTATGTTTGAATATGAACACATTTGGTTGATAGGAGCTGTTTTCGTGATGCTCAGTCGCTGATTGACAATTCTAAATAACTCGGGATTCCGTAGATTCCTTACATTTGTATTTTGGGTGATGAAGTTCTTCAGGAGTGGGCAATGAATAATCAAAGCGATAGTGCCACAATACATTTCAAATGTTAGTCATTTGACACATAGCAGTCAATAGATTTACAGGCATTAACATACTAATGTTATTAATTATCAACATTTTATTAACGGGGCGGTAATAACTCAAACATAACATATTATTAGATTAATAAGATTCTACCATGTTATTAACATATTATCTTATTATTAATAAGATCGCCATTTTATTAAAAAGTTAATAAGATCCATCTTATTATTAATAAGATAATCTTATTAAAATATTAATAAGAAAATCGGATTTTAGCTGTTGTAGCACAAATGATACACAATTGTACATACTTTAAGTGAATGCGCATTTCGAAACGCTCAACGGGCGTTCATCATCAGCACTGACACGACTCTCGATTTTTGCCGGTGATTTGAGAAAAAAACCGACCACACACCAACACAACGCAAAAACAGCTGACTCAGCAACAACAAAATATTCGCCGCATCAAATCAATGCAAATAAGCAGGACTGTATGTTCCCGCTCTCCGTATTCAATGGTGCTGTCTCTTTCTCGATGTAATAACTTTCATACGCATCGAGCCTGCTCTGTCTATTGACATTTTTAATCAGTTCGATGCTATGGTCACTCTCATAGATACCGTGCTCACTCTCTACTACATGTTTGGCAAACGCAGACTCTC